CCTCCCTCCCTCTCTCTCTCTCTCTCTCTCTCTCTCTCTCTCTCTTTCTCTCTCTCTTCTTTGGAGACAAGGTTTCTCTGCATAGCTCTGGCTATCCTGGAACTCCTTCTGTAGTCCAGGCTGGCCTCTAACTCAGAGGCAGAGGATTTTTTTTCTTTCTTGGAGAGAATGGAAGCTGTTGCCCTTCAGAAGGTCCTCTCTGTGTGATGAGGGAGGTCCTTATCGGGCTGATGTAGGCCATGGCACTCAGCAGTTAGGGCAGTGAGTTTGCTCAGATGCTGCAGCCCTGGTCCATGTTCTCTAGACACAGGAAGTGCAACAGTTCACACTAAAGTCAGACATTTACACCAGCTCTCATGACAGGCCAGGTTGCTAGTGAGTGTGGAGGCTGAATATTTTCATGGAAGTTGTTGTTCAAAGTTAACGTTTAAAGCCAAGGAATACACTTTTTTTCCCCTTTGAGACAGGGTTTCTTTGTGTAGCTTTGTGCCTTTCCTGGAACTCGCTTTGTAGACCAGGCTGGCCTCGAACTCACAGAGATCCACCTGCCTCTGCCTCCCGGGTGCTGGGATTAAAGGCGTGTGCCACACCACCGCCTGGCAAGGAATACACTTTTCAGCCAGCTAATGGGTTCTTCTCTGAGCTGATCACTGAGGTGTGAAGTGAGACACTAGCTATTTTACTGCCAAATTCCTTTACTTTCAACATAATTGCTTTTTTTTAAAGATTTATTTATTTATTATGTATACAGCATGTATGTCTGCAGGTCAGAAGAGGGCGCCAGATCTCATTACAGATGGTTGTGAGCCACCATGTCGTTGCTGGGAATTGAACTCAGGACCTCTGGAAGAGCAGTCAGTGCTCTTAACCTCTGAGCCATCTCTCCAGCCCCCAACATGATGGCTTTTTGAATGGAATTGCTCTGTGTTCCTGGCTTCCTGGTGGCTGACTGTGGCTCCATGGAACCCAAGGGCACCGTGTCTTCTGTGATTAGCTCTAGACATGGTGAGATCTGCAGAGTCGGGAGGCCACTTACCCTGAGACACCCAGCGCCAGCTGTGGAAAGTT